AATTTCACCGGATATTGTCATCTGAACAAGCAAGTAACAAGTCACTTTTGTTCTGACCAACTGAGGAAAAAAGCATTACAATAAATCGCGCTACCAATGGTGATTTAATCTAATTAATCTAAATTCATTCTAAATCACATCAAACCGTGCAAATTATTATTATTGTTATAATTTATTCTCAAATTGTTAATGTTAACAACATCCGCATTGCGTGAGTATGGTGTGTATAAGCGAGAAGATTTCAATTTCTGCACAGTCTAATCAAATTGTCAATACTCTTCGAATTTCATATTAAGAAATTATTTTAACCAAAAAAGCAAATTATGCTCCCTTCGAACTGGTTTTCTTTAAAATACAAATCTTGTGTAATCCCAGGCTATCTGTAATCAGAAGCACATTTAAAACTAGAATATAATTTAATTTCATTCACATGTGTTTCATAAACACATAATACTTTCTGGATTACAAGCTGCCATCAAAAAGATAAATTTAATTATTCTGGCTGCTGTGAGAAAAGGCTATAAACGATCCGCCACCTGCAGGATCCTCACATGCGATAGCCTAGCAACCGGCACTGTTGCCAACTCTCGCGAGACAAATAAGCAACCGCTGCTTCAAAAACAAGCCCAATATTTTTTTGATGATTTATTATCAATTATTTATTAGCCAATAAATGAGCCTGCAACATACTAAACTGAAACCACTCGTTTATCTGAAAAGCAAAAACCGAAGCTATTTGACAAAATTCAGCAAACTGCAACAAAAACGGGAACAAAACTCATCTCCAATCACCTGTGTGCAGAATATGATTGGAGAGACGCCTTCTTTTTGAACCTGATTTTCTCCAATGAGGGGGAGGAACATTTGGCAAATTAAGCTGCAGCACTTACATTATTGCACTGGTTGGCTATTAACTGCGAGCAGACAGAGTGTCATTCAATACATTGGAGAATACGGCGAACATAAATAAAGAAACGAAGTTGCTTGTCAGATTTCCCTAACAAGCAACCATATTTTTTTTTAAATAAACCCAAAAAACCGCAACCGGCGACCCGGGATTTTTTCACACAACTTTACAAAAAAAGAAGCCCAAAGTCGCGCACTCAAATTATAAAACATTATTATAAACTGACCGTTGTGAATCGGGCTAAAGTAAGCCGATAGTTTCGAATAACCACTGGCTGGTTATGTACTTGCTCAAATATTGATTTCGGATCATTTTTAACCAAAAAAAAAAAGTTACGGATTGCAGCTTTAAGTGGAAGTCAGCGGCCTCAACTCCCGCGTTTCCCGCCCTCACACCCCGGACCTAACGACCGACTCAATCACTGCCATTAATGAGAGTATTAATGATGGAAATGATGTCTCCAGAACATGAGACAAACGTAGATCGTAAACTCAACAGTGAGGCAATGAGTTAAAACGGTAAGTGATTAAAGGCTTACCTGACACACAACTGCTCGGAAACTGAACACGATAGACGTTCGTGCGCTGCTTGCGTCGTTAGTGACGTCACACCCCTTTGTCATTTTACTTTTCGTGTTTTTTTTGTTTTTGGAGTAAGTATCACGTTAAGACCATAGTTAAAATCCCAATGATGCAGTCTGTTTCAGGACTGCAACCTGTATTTTTATTTATTTTTTTGACTGCAAACTGTATATCAAACCCGCAAAGTAGTGATATATGCCTCCTGTATTTACGAGAAGGGTCTGTCTGCGGACTGCAAGAGAGGGGCGTAACTTGAACAAGGGGGCGTAACTTGAAGTTGTCCAAATCACACAGAACCACGCGAGATGTCAAAACGAGATGTTGTCGGGCTGCGTTCGAAACCGCATACTTTCTAAGTTATAGGCACTTAATTTCTTTAAGTACTTACTTACCGAGCGCTATGAGAGTGTACAGCCTGAAGCACAGTATGAATGCGATTCGGATATCATCCGCTATGTTGACGTTATCATGTGACCTACGACGTTATAACAAGCGCAACAACTTAAAAGATGAGTGACAGGTTTAATTCATCTATCTGCAAGTATCTTGATAATGATGAAACTTGCCCATTTTGTGGTCTTGTTGAAGAAACAGCTGCCCTTTTTTTGTGATTATAGTATAGCCAATACATTTAGGGTTGATTTAAGTTCTTATATTTTTAACTTCGCTAATGTGATCCAGTTCTATCCTTAAAGCATTTTTTAAAAACGTATTACGAAAACCCAAAATCGTTATCTCGTGAATATCTTGTTAATTATTTTGTGCAAAATGTTTTATCCACAAGCAAAAGTGGCTTAAATCTCCTTTGTTTTATTCTTTTTCTTGTTGAATTTAACTCTCGTTTCATCCCTCAGGCTTCTAAAAAAAAAAGCATCATGATGAATTATTCAAAGATATTTAACCTTGTCACTGTGCTTTTTTTCTGTGTATATTATCTCATACTATGATGAACACATTAATTTTTTAAAACTGTTTTATCAGAATCAGAATAGCTTTATTGCCAAGTATGTTTACACACACAAGGAATTTGTGACGAAGGGAGCTTCCAGTGCAGAAGAAAGTACATAGTGCAGCCATACAGAGGAATAACACAGTAGGGATGTAATATAACATATGCCATTATGATTGTTCATTGTTAGATACAACCATCTTTCCCTTATCTTTTATGTAATTATAAGTTCGGCAATAATAATAATAAAAAAGAGGGACAGGTGCACTAACACCTCATAGCATCACTAACTCAACAATCTAGTACTGTTTTCCTCAGCGTTTGCAATATCTGCACAAAGGATATGTCGGGCAGCTGCTCGAAGATCTCGCCTTTGGAGAAGACTGTTGATTTTATACTCTAAAAATGTAAGTATTACTACTTAAAAGTTATTTAAAATATTTTATTTCATTTTTATATTTTTATTATCTTAAGTTGTTAAAAACTCTTTTTTTTATCTTAATATTTATATTTAAGTGTATTGTATTGATAACATTTTATTTTGTCATTAATTATTTTGTATTTTTATAATTTTGTATTGTCTTAAGTTGTCCAAGTTGTTAAAAATGTTATTTTTCTTAATAAAAGCTGTATATTTAATTTGTTTGGATGGATTGCCATTTTGTTATCTATTAGATGTATATATATGTAGGCATTCATTAGCTGTCTATTTGATGACTAGTCTATTCTTGGGCTATGGTTAGACGTCTATTAGATTTTCACTGACAGCCCAAATTTAGCCTCGTTTTAGCCTAGACGTCTAGGCTATATTTAGACGTCTAATAGACGTCTTTTAAACGCAAAATTGCTTGCTGGGTAAGAACTGCAAAGTACATAATCGTTGATAAATTATGCAAATGTGTCTTGCAAACTGCTAATGACAGGAACAGCAAGGTCATTCACTGACACAAACAGCTGAAACATCCTTTGGTGACAGATAATATCCAAGGACAAGGTCTCTTTAACACTAGAACTACCAAGGCAGTCATTTTGACCGTTTTTAAATTTTGAAATGTTATAACTTTGTTGAAATAAAACCCATATATACCTCGACTTTTCCTAAATGTGTGTATATTTTATTATAACATTGATATATTATTAAAATTACAAAATACAAAAGACTTCACAAAAGTTTCTACCTTGAAATTGACCGTTCGCATTACAGACGGCGTATAATTTATGCCGTCTGTAATGCGATGTGATGCCATCTCTGTCTACATGGCATCACTAGGTTCTGTCATTCAGAAACATGGCTTTTCATATCACTGCGATGCTGATGACACTCAACTCTACCTCTCATTCCATCCTGATGATCCGACGATAGCTGCACGCATCTCAGCATGTCTAACAGACATTTCTTGTTGGATGACGGACCATCACCTTCAACTCAACCTGGTTAAGACAGAACTGCTTGTGGTTTCAACAAACCCATCACTTTATCAAAATGTCACCATCCAGTTAGGCTCATCAACCATAACTCCTTCAAAAACAGCTAGAAACCTTGGAGTTGTGATTGACGATAAGCTGCATTTCTCAGACCACATTGCTAAAACTGCCCGGTCCTGCAGATTTGCTTTATACAACATTAGGAAGATCAGGCCCTTTCTTTCAGAACATGCAACACAACTCCT